CAAATATCTCCAATACCGTTAGAGATAGGTATAGGGAACCTATACACAGTTTGAAAGAGTTTTAAATTTCCCAACTCCCAAAGTAAAAATATACTGGGTGTTCCATTTAAAATAACCAAGTTATTGCTGTTTAAAGTTGAGAGAAGTATTCAGCAGTTTTTTGAACACCCTGTATAATACTAAGTGACGACAAATATAATAATTTACAACTTCAAGGATCTAAAATACACTCTCCAAAACTGCTTACTTAAAATAATTTTTTATTGCAAATATTAAATTTCTACACTAAGCCTGCATTTTCACTAAAATTGAAATATCTCACAAACTGTAAGTTCTAGGTATGCAGAACCTTTAATAAAGTTCACCTATTTTTTTATGGTGCTTTCAAAAATGCAGTAAAATACAGGGTGTTCCATTTAAAAATACATAACATTCATATGGTACGCTTTTCCTGGACATCCTGTATATTTCAAAATATTTTTAAAATATAGCCGTAATCAACCTATACATACCCACCTAAACAGGTTCCTGTAACATTTGCCGGTTGGTCCCTAGCGACCTGGTGGCTCACCCTGTATAGAAATATGTATAGGACAATTTTTTGCTTAAATTAATACTCTTTAGTTAAGCTAAAAGCAATATTTGCTATAAAAAACAAAGTACAAGATAAAATTCCGATAAAAAAAATAACTTAAAACTTAATATTCCATAAAAAATAAATTGTAACAAATTGTACAAAATAAACTGATGTTTCAAGAAAATCTTAGATAATACTCTCACTTAAAATTTAAAAACACAGCAAGTTTAGGTTTTTTTGTATGTAAAATGTAAGAAAACAACCTAAATCATAAAAATTCCAATAGCGTTATCTCTGGCTATGTCACATAAGATATGTGCATGGTCTGGAGGTCTTGAAGCAAAATAAATTTGAATTCGAGGGAATATAAGAAATCAATATGCAATATATATAATGCAATAAAACCAGTGAATATTACTCAATATTATAGTTTAAAAATTAAATTTTAAAAATAATTTTTTTCATAAATAAATTGTACTCGAGCAATCATTTATACAACACGGATATTTTGCATGTACGACGATTATATTGTCTCAGTAATTGTATTTTCTGTTTTAAATCTAAAAATAAAAAAATGTGAATCATTGTTATGCAACAAGATTTAACACAAACAAATTAATCTTACCATATAAGGAATATGATGCTAATTAAAGATTTGCTATAATCTTTGCACCAAAATGTTATAATGTTTATCACTCACGGAGAACAACAAATAATTACAGTTTCTTAAGAAATGTAAAAGTTTTATAAATGAGTATTTGTTCCTCACTTTCTTTAAAAAACATTATGTATCCCATTATTTATTTTTCCGTGTTTTTTTTTTATATTGCACATACAGATGACATCGTCACCTAGTTTGAAAAAAACACCTTGTCAGTACGATTTTAATAAACGAACAAAACAATCATACTACACCAGGAAAATTAGCAAAAATAAAAGCGAAACTCGAAAAATTCCTATCCATGATATTATTGTAAAATTGTCTAAAGGAACATAATACAAGACGTCTCTCATCTCGTGAGTCAAAAAATTTTATTAGCTAACTTTTCTATTTAAACAAATAAGTGAGGAAAACAGTTTTTTCACTTTGCAGGGAAAAGCATCAGTTTTAGCGAAAAGTGACTCTCAGACAGCTCGTAGGGAGTAAAATTATCTACAAAATGAGACTTGTTAAATTAAAATCGGTTAATAAACAAAAAAGTTATTGCAAAAAAACAAGTTGCGTTTTCCCTACTAGTTATGTCTTATTTGTCAGCTTGATAATTATAATTATATCGAATTATTGTATGTATAAAACAGACGAAATATGTAGTGAATATGTAAATATTAAAAGGTAACGATAAAATATTAAAATTGAAATGTTTAAAATATTTGTCGCCTTCACAAATGCACATATGGGTTTTACTAATGTGGGGAACCCAAATATGTTGAAAAATTTATAATTTTAGTATCCTGTATTGTTTTTACAATTGTCGAACAGGAATAACTTATTTTGTGCCTTAATATACAAATTTAAAAAATGTTCGAAAATGTTAAATGAAAAACTAATTTTCAATGTTAAGAATATTTTTTCTGGCTTAACCAATTTAACCCGATTTATCCCCTTCAATTTGTTTTTTTTATTTTCTGTACGATTATTTCTCGAGATATTGCTATTGAGTAAAAAGTCATCTTTTTTTTTTTAATCTTCGATATCTCATGAACCAATGATCGTACAGCGAACGGAAGGAGGTGTTAGAAACTTGAATCAATCCTCTTGAAGGTCCTTTTGCTATGTTTGAGAATTTTTTTTATTTATATTTACTTTTTCTGGTGTTTTGGAAAATCAACAACTACTTTGCAAACATTGCGAAAAGTAGGTTTTTTTTTAGCTCAATACTTGCCCATAAGGCCTGTAAATTTTTAAATGGATCGGTCGAATTGTTTTCCTAATCTTCAAAGTTTTATAAAAAATTAAAGGAGAATGTTTATTGCTCCTTAAACATCAATTAATGATTAAGATGAAACAATTTTTTTTGCGTTATTTTTCTTACAATTTCACGTTCAATACTCATTAAATATCAAAAAAAAATTCAAAATTAAAAAAATAAATAAAATTTTTCAAAATCAAGCATAAGAGACAATGAGTACTACAACACTTCTCCGTTCGTGTTTCGGTTTATTTGACACAATTTATTGTTAGAGTTGTTGAAAAAAACTTTTTATGTATAATTTTGACACCCTGTATTTAAAAAAGAAACATCTAAATAAAAAATGGCAGAAGGAAACTCCCTATATCTACTTTTTTTTGTAACATCCTGTGCAGTAGGCAATAATCAAGTTAATACGTGCAAATACATACAAATTTTCATGGGTTAAAATGCCGCCTGAAACATCTGTTTCGTGTTTTCTCCCTTCCGCCTGCCCTGGTCAGAGTTACAAGCGTTAGAAAAGTAATAAGTGAAGAGTTTTCTTACCTATTTACGAAAATGTTATCCGTCATGTCAGAATTGGTGAAAAGTTCAGCCACAACGTACAAATCCGGTCGTACTCTTCTTGCGCAATCCAACAAGTACTCCGCCACAGGAATCGGAGTGGAATGGCAGTTATCCAACCTCACACCGTCGAAAATCTCGGCGGTTTGTTCCACGTACTTCTTCATGTGTTCCCATAAGAACGGGCAATCCTTAGGTTCATCGCCGTAACGCAACTTCACGCTATCTCCCCAAGCTATAAGCTCCCTTCTGAGATACACGTTAGAGTCGGGAGAAGCGAAGTTTTTCAAAGGGTCCGAGTTCATGACCCAACCGTTATGAGCCATCAGGAAACGCCCGTTGCTGCTGTACATTATCTCTTCGTGTTCTTTAATGCTTTTAGGCGTTCCGTAATCGGTGAAGTAGCGATATACCAAGGGATTTTTAATGGTTATGTCTTTAACTCTGGGTCCGTCGGGTTGAACCCTGAAGTATCTAATGCCGGCTATAACGTTTTCGATGGCCGCCGTTAAATGATCGTTTACGTCCACAATTATAGCGTTATTCAAAGAATCCAGCTTGCTTTTGAAATCTTCCGTGCACTTCTTCAACCTCGAGTCCTCATCAAAAGAATCGCTTCGATAGACGTTGTACAGCTTCAACGCTAGCGTCATATCGACCGTAGCGGCTAATCGTTTGTATTCCTCGTCTTGGAAAATCCTTAGTTCATCCTGTTCGACTTTGAAATTAACAGTAACTGGTGGCGTACTTCGAGCGAGGCCAGAGAATTCGACGGCCAATTTGTTTGTATCGCAGATAAATAGTTCTTCGATCTTGAGTGTCTCCAACAGGGACTTGCGGAAGTGGTAACGGATGGCGTTCAGGTGATCTTCATGGTCGACTTCGATGGGTATTCCTTTATCTTCGTACAGCCCTTTTTTAACGTCCATTGAGAACTGGTGGAAAGCGGCGTCTAACAAATAGGCGGGACGCATGTAAGGGCAGTTTACACAGTTATACGTTACTTCCGGGTGGGCTTTGATCCACTCGCTTTCATTCGCGGTGTGGTTCAACACGATGTCGCAAATGGAGGTCACCTGGAATTAAAGATAATATGAATATTTGGAAAACAGTAAACACATCAAACACTTTTGAAATATGCTTGTACCGATTTTTAAACAAATAGCACCTTACCTTCCAATCGTTTCTTATCTTCCCAATAAACTTCTTTATTTCCTCGAACGTAGGCATTGCACCATTTTCTTTCTTAAAAACTGGATTCAACTTCAGCTGCTCGCTTAAACTATAACACGAACGTGATGCTCCCAATTCCTAAAATTTGAAAAAACACCTTATCAGTACGATTTTAATAAACGAACAAAACAATCTTACTACACCAGGAAAATTAGCGAAAATAAAAGCGAAATTCGAAAAAATTCCTATCCAGGATATTATTGTAAAATTGTCTAAAGGAACAATAATACAAGACATCTCTCATCTCGTGAGTCAAAAAATTTTATTAGCTAACTTTTCTATTTAAACAAATAAGTCAGGAAAACAGTTTTTTCACTTTGCAGGGAAACCATCAATTTTAGCGAAAAGTGACTCTCAGACAGCTTGTAGGGAATAAAATTATCTACAAAATGAGACTGGTTAAATTAAAATCGGTTAATAAACAAAAAAGTTATTGCAAAAAAACGAGAAAAGTGCCCATATTTTAATTTGTTTATAACTGTCGCATTTATTGTTAAAATTTTATAAAACCTATAACACGTTGAGGGTTTTGTCATACTTTAAAAGTGTGCCAAAAGTGGGCGGTGTAGGTGCAATAGTTTTCGCACAATTCAATTTGTTTATAACGGAGGCTCCAAAAGTTATGAACTTTAAGCCTCTGTACAGGCATTAATTTTCAACCAAACATGATTCTGAAAGCGTCATTGTAATCTTAAAGACGTAATTAAGTGACCTATTAAAAAATATCACAGTTTTTTTGACATTAACATTCTCAAATTGTACATTAAACAACCGTGCGTTTTTCGCTTATAAACAATTTGAATAAAGTTGTTGCTGTTTATACTACCTCACCGAAAATAGATGCAATGGATAGCTGTCAAAAAAATAAAATTTTTTTTTTTTAAAAAAGCACCCTCTACGACCAACAGGAGCCAAAATAAGAATTTTTTTTAAAAAATCGTAACACAATTGTTTATAAACATTAAGACTTGAATTTTTCGCAAAATAAAGTTTACGATGTAAGCTACGATTTCCCGTGAATTGCATTGAAGAATGTGGAAAATTAACGACTCACGAGCCCTTTAAAGAGAAAGTACTTGCTAAGTAAAATGTCCGACGTGGTGGTGGGGAAGCTCGTCCAAACGAGTCGAGCGCGCGAGAAAAGTGAAATGCAAAGTTCAAATTGATGCGCGCTGTAAAATTTTGCAATATCTCGGCTTCTATTCATCGTAGAAATTTCTTTTTTTTTAAAACTGGGGTAGCTCGACAACAAAATAACAATGCGCATATTTACGAATTCGTAGCCCTGAACTCCAGAATAAATGCATCTTTTATACTGAATTTTTTTTTAATTTACAAAAATTATTGTTAAACGAAATATTAATTAAAATTTGAATTTCGGAATTATTTTACTATTATTAAATAAATAAATGAAGCTATCGTTCATTTAAAAAGTTATTTTTTATATATTTAACCAAAGTAAACTTATTTTTTCAATATTTTGTTAGTTATTTAATTATGATTTAAATGTAAAATTAAAGTAAAAATTCACAAATCATTTTCAATTTATTATTTATTGTTAAAAGATTTAAAAAAGAATAAAAAGCATTTGAATTTATTGCAAAATTCTCAAAATTAAAAAATAATAAAAATAATGCAGTAGATAAAATTACAATTTTAACTTCTTGAAATTTTAATATATAGTTTTTTTATTATATTTATTATTAATTTTATACAAAAAAATTTTTGCAACATAATCAAAATTAATTCAAAAAATATTAATACAAAAATAACTTTTTAAATGAACGATAGCTTCATATATATATTTAATAATAGTAAAATAATTCTGAAATTGAAATTTTAATTAATATTTCGTTTAACAATAATTTTTGACATTTTTGTAAATTAAAAAAAAATAAGTATAAAAGATGCATTTTTTCTGGACTTCAGGGCTATTCTACGAATTCGTAAATATGCCCATTGTTATTTTTTCGTCGAGCTACCCCAGTTTAAAAAAAAAAGAAGTTTCTACGATGAATAGAAGCCGAGATATTGCAAAATTTACAGCGAGCATCAATTTGAACTTTGGATTTCACTTTTCTCGTGTGCGTGACTCGCTTGGACGAGCTTCCCCCACAACCACGCCGGACATTTCACTTAGCAAGTACCTTCTCTTTAAAGGGCTCGTGAGTCGTTAATTTTCCACATTTTTCAATTAAAATTCACAGGAAATCGTAGTTTACGTCGTAAACTTTATTTTGTGAAAAATTCAAGTCTTAATGTTTATAAACAATTGTGTTACGATTTTTTAAAAAAAATTCTTATCTTGGCTCCTGTTGGTCGTAGAGGGTGCTTTTTTAAAAAAAAAAAAGTATTTTTTTGCCAGCTATCCACTGAATCTATTTTCGGTGAGGTAGCATAAACAGCAACAATTTTATTCAAATTGTTTATAAGCGAAAAACGCACGGTTGTTTAATGTACAATTTGAGAATGTTAATGTCAAAAAAACTGTGATATTTTTTAATAGGTCACTTAATTACGTCTTTAAGATTACAATGACGCTTTCAGAATCATGTTTGGTTGAAAATTAACGCCTGTACAGAGGCTTAAAGTTCATAACTTTTGGAGCCTCCGTTATAAACAAATTGAATTGTGCGAAAACTATTGCACCTACACCGCCCACTTTTGGCACACTTTTAAAGTATGACAAAACCCTCAACGTGTTATAGGTTTTATAAAATTTTAACAATAAATGCGACAGTTATAAACAAATTAAAATATGGGCACTTTTCTCGTTTTTTTGCAATAACTTTTTTGTTTATTAACCGATTTTAATTTAACCAGTCTCATTTTGTAGAGAGATAATTTTATTCCCTACAAGCTGTCTGAGAGTCACTTTTCGCTAAAATTGATGGTTTTCCCTGCAAAGTGAAAAAACTGTTTTCCTCACGTATTTCTTTAAATAGAAAAGTTAACTAATAAAATTTTTTGACTCATGAGATGAGAGATGTCTTGTATTATGTTCCTTTAGACAATTTTACAATAATCTCACGGATAGGACTTTTTTCGAGTAAAAATTTTATTTGCTTGGCCTATACCTGAACTGGTGTAAAGTGGATCATGTTATAACCAGATTCCTTTGCTACTTGCAGTTTCTTCTCCCAAGTCGAAAACGAACCTAAATTCTTAGCTAGGACCGTTTGACACTGAATGCAATCTAGCGGTAAGTCCTCGTTGCTGCCATATTTCAATATCGGATCAACTAGGAAAAATCCCGAGCCCTGCCGTTCTACGTTACTCCTAGAAAATCATTCACACAAATTAAACGTACGGACAAATAGACAAATTTCAGCCTTACCCTTTCTCGAAAGTGAAGTAGTAGTGGAAACTTCCCGACAATTTCGCTACAATTTGGGTGTAAAGAGCTGTATCATCCGCATTTTTACAACCTTCATCCAGCACCCAATTAAGGAGCTGATATTTGTCACGGTTGAACTCGGCTAAAGTGCCTTTATTATCGACGGGGTAGTTGCAGTACAGATACACCTTTCTTCCAAACAGAGACGGTCCTAGACGGAACTGTATCGCCCAGTTCTTCTCTATTCTGTACAACGTACATTCTTGATGTTCCTGGTCGTTTAAAGTTAACACTCGGATCTGCGAGGGTGCCATTTCAGCCAGTTTATCTTCAGAAACTTCTAGTTTCTCTTCTTCAACAACGATGATTTCTTGCGAACTTTTCTGGTGATCAACGTCTGTTTTGTCGATAGTAGGTTCTTCTATTTTCAATGATAATTCAGAAACTTTTTCAGTGAGATGAGAATTATTTAAATTATCCTGTATTTCCTCGGAATCTGTTATGTTCCGCACTTCCTCTGATTTTTCTAATTGCAGAAATTCTTCGTTAATATTACGGTTCGGTTTCAATGATGATTCAAAAACTTCTTCAGTAAGTTGTGAATTATTTAAATTATTCTGTATTTCTTCGGAATCTATTATGTTCCTTACTTCCTCTGATTTTTCTAATTGTGGAATTTCTTCGTTAATATTAGGGTTCGGTTTCAATGGTAATTCTTCGGTAAGTTGTGAATTATTTAAATTATTCTGTATTTCTTCGGAATCTATTATGTTCCTTACTTCCTCTGATTTTTCTAATTCTGGAAATTCTTCGTTAATATTAGGGTTCGGCTTCAATGGTAATTCTTCGGTAAGTTGAGAATTATTTAAATTATTTTGTATCTCTTCAGAATCTATCAAGTTTCTTACTTCCTCTAATTGCAGAAATTCTTTGTTAATATCAGAGTTTGGTGTAGCATCTTGGGGTTCAATATCCGAATTTTGTACAATCGATTCTTCTTGGGGAGTTTCTTCAATAAATTTGCGACTATTTTCTTCCAAGTTGGTTTCGCGAGTTAATTGATCTGATTTTTCTAATTGTTGAAGTTCTTCTATAATGTCAAGAATTTCCTTCGCTTCAGATGTATAATTATTCTCTTCTTGGAAATAGGTCTGTTCGTTTATTAAAGATTTTTCATTGGATTGCACACTTTCAAACTTCTCTAAAATGCAGTAATCTCCTTCGGCATCTAGCTGTTCTTTTCCTAAGTACTCTGTTAGAGAATCTACAACTGCTTTTTCTACCAAATCTTGAGAAATAGTTGCATAAGTTGAAATTTCTTGCAACGGTACTTCTGATATATCTCCGTTTTGTTCAGATTCTTTGTCTACTACAATAAATGTATCCAAATTAGAAGAGTGGTCGTCAGTGGAGAAATATTCACTTTCGCTGACTGAAAACGGTTCTATGTCTGTGTTAAAGGTAAAGGAAGCGTACACTGGTTGGGTTTCTTCTATTTTACCGATTTCAGATTCTATACTTTCGGTTTGATTATCGATTATGCAAATTGAAGAGCTGTCTGAACGGCACAAAATCTGCTCTGATTCAGACGTGAACTGTATGAGTTTGTTTAGATTTTCTTTGATGACTTCAAATTGTGTCTGACTTTCGTTACTTTCCTTTAACTCTTCGGCAATGTTTTCAAACGAACCAATTGGAAAATCAATGTTCTGTTCTTCACAAATGACTTCAATGGAACTGGATTCGCTTTTGGATAAATTCTCGAGGTTTATTATTGGTGATAAATTTTCTGAGTTGTTTTCTCGTTCCTTTTCAGGATTATTTTCAAGCAGAGGTTTTTCAGAATCTAAAATGTCACGAATCTTGCCAGATTTGTCGATTTCGTCAATTTTAGATGGTTCTGGTTCATGAATAGCTTGAGACTGAATATCTTCACTTACTTCCTTATTTACTGCCTCCAAAACCTCCTGCTCAACTGATTTATCGTCAGATTTTAAATCCGAATCTATAAATGTCGATACAGTAGTTGAAGTAATAACAGCACTAGTATTTGTTTGCTCTTTCTGGTCTCCAGCCTCTAATTTTGGATCAGAATCAGAATTACCTTTTGCTTCGGGAATATTATTTGTTACAACATTAGCATATGAAACTGACGAACATACTTTCTTGGTTTCTCGAACTTCAGTCTTATTTCTATCCTCTAACTGTATTTTTGCTTCAACAGGCCTTGTAACTGGTAATTTTTTAGCATCTAAAATGGTCACAGATTTTTTAGACGTCACAGGTGCTGTTTCAGGTGATCGTTTAATATCCTTCTTTTTATTTTGATCGACTACTGATGGTTTTGCTGTGGTTTCTTTCGAATTTTTTGAACTTTGCTCGGATACGGGACTCGAAGAATCCTTATTTTTCTTGTTCCCTTTACTTTTTTCTTTTACAGGGAAAAAGGAATAACCTATATCATCAACAGGTAATTGAGCTTTGATTTTATTTGGTTGAATAGTATCTTCTTTTGGTTTGCTGGGAACTGTTTTATTTGCACTTTTGTCACTTTTTGTTGTTTCAGCAGGTTTAGGTTTATTGTCTTCTTTTACTGTATTTTGATTTGGTTTATTTAATGGCTTAGCTTTTTGCTTAGAAGTGGATGGTTGCAAATTTTTTGATTTCGGATCTTCTTTAACTGTTTTCTTAATCACATTTTCTATAGGTGTTGTTAATTTGGTACTAAATACTGGTTCTTCTGTTTTCTTCGCTTTCTGTTGAGTTTCTGATTTTTTCGATTCAGAATTATTTATTGATGATGTGGAAGTTGATGCTGCCTCAGGTTCTTGCTCCGGGGCTCTAGTTCTCCATCCCACTACCTATAATTTAATTATTAAGAAATATATACAAGTCTCTAGCATTAAGGTATTTTTAAAACCAGATGAAATTCAAGTACGTTACTTACGTGCTCTAGAAACTTTAATATGCTTCTCGATTTTAAATATATAAAAAATAATGTAGCCAATGCTAGACAACAGAGAGTGATGTAAGAAGCACCAAACGAAGCAAACGAATTTAAATTATCGAGCATAATGTTAGAAAAACTTATTATTAAAGAATGTAATCTTTCAAAGGTTCAATGAAACCATTCGCTAAAGACTGAAGTAAGTCACAGCACAGGTCAGTTTCTACTAATTTTTATCAAGAACTTGATAAACCTGTTTTTATTTGTAAATAATATTAACTAAATAAACCAATTAAGATATTTACTGTCTTAAAATTATCTACAGTCATAAATTGATGAGATATCAAATTATTTACCTTTAGATAACGTAGTTCTACGTTAATATATTATGTTGATTTAAAATAAGAAACAATATTCGCGTTAAAATCCATTAATCAGGTCAAGTAGATCTATTACTTTTTTATAATGTTCTATAAGCTGACGGTTAAAGTCATAGACAAAGACGGATGGTTAAAGTCAAGGTGACTTTGACATTTCAAATTGAAAAAATCATATTAGACCATTTCAAATCAACAGAGTCTGTGAACAGAACCTATTCTTACACTAAATATTTAGTAGTCTACTACTTCCATTTTGTTCATTTAAACAGTGATAAATGTTAACAGATATAATGCATATTATACATAAATTTTATAAACACATCAACAAATTATTTGACAATGTGACATTGACAATATTGACATATGATTACAGTTGTTGCACGACCGTACCACAACCACAAGCCATAATCGATAACCAAGTGGTATATTGGTTACAGCAAATGAAAGGGACTATATTTGATTTGGTGATTTTGTTGTGGATACGTTGGTAGTATATTATATTTTGGATAATAAGTTGAATGTGTAATTTATTTAAAGAAATAAATTGTAAAAAAATATTAAATATTTTATTTAGCAAAGGGGTTGGATCTATGATACTTGCATGAATTCTTAGCCAAAAATATTTATATTACGTAACAAGTAAACAGTATAGCCAACACAAAACCGCTAAAAACAGCTGTTGAAGTGTTGATTACAGAATGGCAACAACAATATAAAAAATGACATGGGAAAAATAAAAGTAAATATAGTTCGAGCGTGATCAAAATACTAGCTAAATTAATAAAATAATGGACAATAAAATGTGCAACATAAGTAAAAGTTACGAGAGTGAAGGGGCCGATGGTTCCTCTGATCAAGAAAAAGAGGTGTCTAATGTGATTTTTAGTGTTGATGATGAACATAAACCAATTAATTCTGAAGAAAATAATGAGTGTTGGCTAAATGATTGTACTAGTGGTTATTACGACGACGATCTCGGGGACATTAATATAACAAATTTTTTCCATAGAGTCGATAGTAATCAAATTATATATCAAAGTAAAAAGAGGAAGTTAAAACTTGTGGGGAAATACGTAATGGGTGATTTACTAGGCGAGGGTTCTTACGGTAAAGTTAAAGAAATGTTGGACTCGGAAACATTATGTCGAAGAGCTGTGAAAATCTTAAAACAAAAAAAACTTCGTAGGATCCCGAACGGTGAACAAAATGTACAAAGGTATGAAACTCCCTTTTTCGTTCTTATTTTAATATACAGCATGCCCTGAAGCGAAAGCCATATTCCAAATTTATCTTCTTATATAAAGCGACAGAGTTTACTATTGATATAATTTTTTTTGCTATTTTTTTTTGTAGGTAGAGATTTTGGTAAAACAGTAATTTAATATAATGTTACTTTTAAATGGCAAAGAGTATAATTGTTGCATGGTGTTAAAAGGCATCGTTCCAGAGAAACATTAAATTAAATTTTCTGTCTTAGTTATCAGTTACAAAGAGTTGAGTTTACAAGTATTTTAATCTAATTAAACTTCATCCTTCATCATTTTGCTGAACTTGTTATATTAAGTAATTTTTTACAATTTATACCAACTTATCTCTATCCATATGACAATGTTTACTGAGGTGACCTCTAAATGTTATTTTGTGGAACCACGTATTAAGGGCTGTAAGTATCATTAGATGCTTACATTTGAATACGATAATCTTTAGTACAGTTACAAATTTAACAGAAAGATCAAGTTTAAGTAAACTAGAATGCCCCAAAAACTCAGCCCTCCATAGTTTCCTTTTTTTTTTTATAATAACTTATTATCTACTCATTATAATTAATGTTAACAATTTTGAATAGTTTGCTGCACAATAACTCAATATTATTATTAAAATACTGTAACAATTAAAATTTGGGTAGGTTTTTAATTAAATAGCACAAATCGATATATGTCAAATGAGCAATTTCAGGAAAAAGACAACAATTAGTAGCGATTTTATGTTTCTGGTATTCTTATCGATATCTATGTTTTACTTAAAAATAAGCCTATTTTTATTTGATGCAAAACAAAATTATGATCTATGTTTATAATAAAACATTTCAAAACTAATATATACTCGTTTCGGAACTAAAAAAATGAAGTATAACTTTTGAAACTTGGAAAAATACTTTTGAGTTAAGTTTAAATATAAATCCATCTGTACCCATGTATGATGATGGGGATTTTCAACTAATTTTATATGTTCCACATTTTTTGACTTTTCTAAATAAATCGAAATAGTTTTTTTGTCGGTTATAAAATTAGCTCTCAAAATTCTTATGGCTATTTTTGACTATAATGTAAAACAAGCTTTTAACTGAAAAATATTTTTTTACTTACATTTTCCAAAATCCATACCACGACGGCTGCCATCGCTGTGATAAACCTAAAAAAAATATATATATTATGAACACATTTTTAGTATTAAGGTATTAATATTAGCTATAACTAAATATGTGGTCGTTTAGGGGACAATATTATTGGTTGTAAATTTTGTTTCTAGTCGTGTTATTTATTCATTACTTGTAAATTCCTAAAATACGTCTTTGACTTCAGGGAAATCAAACTATTGCGAAAGTTGAAGCACAAAAATGTCATCAATCTGGTAGACGAGCTGTACGACCACGAGAAACAGAAAATGTATTTAATAATGGAATTCTGCGTGGGGTCGTTACAGGGAATGCTAGACTCGACACCTTCCAAGAGATTCCCCCTATATCAGGCGCACGGGTACTTTTTGCAACTTGTCGACGGCCTAGAATACTTACACAGCATGAGGGTTATCCATAAGGACATTAAACCGGGAAACCTGCTCTTAACCCTCGAGAGAGACTTAAAAATATCAGATTTAGGAGTCGCGGAGGTAAGTTGCTTTTAAAATTCATTAAAATGGGTGTTACGGTTAAATTATTACATTTTTTTACTTGATTCTAATCAGCTACAATGTAACTTTATTTGCCAGCGAAAATAACACAAAAAATAATTGATTTTCAAAAATTTTTTAAGTTAAACTACAAAACGAAGTTATAGCTAAATTTTTGTGATAAAATTCAGTAGAATGTTGCGAATGGCAGTTTTGATTGTGAGATCATATACTGGGTCACGATAAAATATTTTTTAAACGATTTGCTGAAAAAAACAGTCGTCCAGATCAATTTTTATTGAAAAAATATGTTTTTACGACATTAGATAACTTGGCAACTTCATCCATGTCAGAACCACATCTTTGAAATTTTTTTGAACAGATTTTGTCATTGTTTAACAAACATTTAGAAAACCCTATCGATTGTCTTTTTAACAAACCTATATTTCATGTGTCATGTTCTAAGATATTGCCATTTATTTAAATATGGTTAAAGAATATAATGTCTATTATTATTAGTAGTAATAATAAATGAGAAAAAAGTATTTTATATGTGTGTTATGTGACGTATTTTTGTTCTGGACATCGTCAATATAATAGATTTGTTCTTATAAACAGCATTTTTAAAGTAACCTCATAAAAATAATCTGTCTTCCTCCTGTAAATATTTTTAACCTAACTTAAATAAATAATTAGCGGATTCTCAAATTAATAGAATATAATGTATTAAACATAGGTCTATGATCGAGAAGTCTACAAATGTGTCAATAAATGACACATTCTCATTAAAAAATATTTCGATGACGTGGTAACTCCGACATAAATGATATCAGGTGTTTTTAAAAATAGGCCTGTCCACACTTAAAAATTCATACCACTCGTCCTAGCGTCATGAACAGGATAACAAACCATTAAGAAACATTAAATAGGATGAAGTAACACTTTTTTTCTTTTTGTCTATAGCATTTATGTATTTTTCTAGTGTAAGATATTCTCTGTATTTTTGAGCATATAATTTTTTATAATTATAATTATATTTTGAAAATCTTGGAGTTTTTGTGTCAACGGATTTCAACCTTTTGCTGTTAATAAAAACTAGGTAAAATCTTAATTTTTGAAGGGATTGTTACTCTGCCTCGTGTGCTATTTGTAAAAAATTATAAATATTTTATCGAAATTTTAGCTATACCACTTTATAAATAACTTCTTACATTTATTTTGCGTGTCGACACATATTAAGAAGGTTCAAAGTTTCCTGGACATAACTAGTAAGTATGTAATTAATTAACGATAACTGAGCAGGCACATTATAATAAAAACAGGTCAAACATCTTTCCTATAGCTACTTGCAATAATATTCTTTGAGACGTAGTTTCTGCGAGTTACAATTTGTTTTTAGATATTAAAGCACGGCATTAACGAGAGACGTTATTTATATCTAAACGTAAAAATAAGGGAGAGTTTTTTTCGTTCAGTTCATGATGAGGCGTACAGTATTGGGGATCATGAAGGTTTGCAAAAATTGTAATCAAGTTTTAAAAAATGGAGTTCATAGTGGTCCTAGAAAGACGAAACGTTACAGGGAAAAATTGATTATGCCATTCGATATAGTTGCCACGAGAAAATGTTTTTCTTTTTTCAATATCACCTTAAACAAGGCTGAAATGAAACAAAAACGGATTTTCAAAATTTCGGTTTTCTTCAAATATTTCTAAAACTAATAATGTTAGCCTTGATTTTTTAGGGGCATAATGTTGGTCCCCTGATTACGCAACTTTGCCCCCATTTAAGCTAGTTCGTATCTCTTACCGTGTTGGGGATCCCTGTAGTGAGAAGCGAATTTGTAACAGCCTGTATTACCGGTTACAAAAATTATAAAAGAAACATGGAATTCATTTATTGCAAGTTTTAAATAATTATTATTATCACAAATTACTAGTTGGCTTTGTTATCATTCATAGAAGGATTTAGAAAGAATTAGCTACCGTTTTCATTGGTTTATTTCAAAAAAACGTTTTAAAAGGTCTTACAAGTACCTAATTAACTGAAAATAGAAATACAAATATTTTCCGTCTACTTTTAATTGGTCTTCTAGACAAATTATATTTACAAAATATAGAAACAATTCATGTAATTACGATTGTTATGTTTGTGGAAACTAGGAACTAATTTGTATATTGGCCTTTGTGGTCATTATTTATTTGTCTTGTATTAGTAGTTTGAACAATTATAAGTTTTTGTGCATAAATATTTATTTAAGTTAATTATGAAGGCATCAACATTTCTATTGATTAGGTGGAAAAGAATATCGTTTCACCCAGCAGAATATCTAGAAATAATTTAGTGGATTATTTACAAACTTTTTATACTAATAATATGCAATAAATATCAAACTATGAATCATTAAGGGGTCAAAAGTTGTTCGTTGCGTTGCAAAAGTTGTAGGTATAAGGTCATCACCAATAAAGCTCGTGCAAGACAGTATAGTAACAGCTAGTCTATTTCTGCAATTTGTTTTGTATTTATTTTATAATTTCAATGTCGAGTGCACGTTACGACTTAAGAATTTTAAAATGTTGGCTAATTTACTCAAAAATTGCACTCGTTTACTTTGCTGGAAGTCCATTCGCTAAGAAATGGGGAGTCTTGAAAAATAATCTGTCGGTATAACAAAAATAAGTAAAGGTTAAATTGAAAATTTATTCATTACTTGAAAACGATTTTTTTTTTAACTATAATGAATGAAAACCGATAAATTTTTGTAACAATACACATAAAAGGAGATAGATCGTAGATTTATCGATTGAATAACAGTTTTGACAATTTATCTGTTTTCCTAGTATTATGTATAAATTATATTTTCAATGTCATTGTGTCGAAAGTTATATTTATTGTATTGTTTATAATTCATTGATATTAATGTCTTCCGTGTTGTTGAAGAGCAGCTGTCTTTTGTCCTAATAGATTTTCTCAAAGTGGTATACAATTAATTTCACGTTATAGTAATCAGGATTTAGTAATTAATCTTTATTTATGTTAAAACATTGATTGTCTCGGTTTGCAATTTGCAAAGAACCAATTGGTTAACTTGTGCGAAAAGATATTTTTTGTTCGTGTTTAAACTATTTGAATTTTGCTATATAATTGTTTGCCTTCTAGATATATTTGTTGAACCAGTTATGACGAACCATAGCCCGCTGCCATTTTTTTAGAAATGGTTTTTCAGAAAACCACTTTATAGTCCAATTAAATGGGCCTTGAATTCGCAATTTTGGTCAACTTGCCTGAATTTTTGATATGAGTTAGTTTGAGGTATGTTATAACAATAAGTGACAGTAATTTTTTTTTCAACCCCCGGATAGGGGTGAAAATCTATAAAATAAAGCAGTTTTTCAAGATAACTCAAAAGGGGTGAGAGTTAGAAAAGTTTCTCATAAAAGTTGTAGTCGATTGAATTTTTCTGGCACTACTAAAATTAACAGAGTTAGGAAGACTAGAAATTAAGGGATTATTTCAGACATTTAAAAAATCATAACAAACAGAAAAATGAACGAATTTTATAATTTTTTTCGCAATCTACTCTAAAAAATGTTACATTAAAATTCAAAGCGTTAAGTCTATATAAGAACATTATTTTGTATAATAAATTGATATAATTTGAGATGCTAGAGTTTTAAGAAATTTTGACTCAGTCTATAGTGATTTTCCAAAATTGCCTCTAAAAAAAAATAGCAGCAGGCCTAGGATTAACAATTGCTTCAACAAGTACATCTAGAAGATCACGACGGTGCATATACGAAAAATATATATACACGGTGTCTTTAAAGGGTCTGTACAAAGCTCCACTAGATATAGTACGGCTCAAAATAAGTCGATTTAACTAAACTTGCTTTACAATCGGTCCAAAAATTGATAATAACGGAACTACAGGGTGTCAAAGTTGAAAAAATAACATTTTCTTTAATATCTATCGACTACTTTGAGTTAATTTCGTGTCCGGGAGTTTTTTGGGATGAGAGATTCGATTTTTACGACGATTTCGTTGTATCTTTTAGAGGGCGCCACAAGCGACCATTCTGACGCTTTTAAACTGCCAAAACTTTTTTGTGCAACAGTGTATTTCACTTTGGGCTAGCAAACATTTTTTCCCCAACTTTTCTGCTTAAAAAAGGTATACCTTGCTAATATCGATCTAAAAATCTAAAAAATAACTAATTATTATTAATCTGTATAGCTTTTAAACAAATTTATACCTGTTTTAAGAAGAAAAGTTGGGGAGAAACATTTTTCCAGCCCAAAGTGAAATATACCGGGGCATAAAAAAGTTTTGGCATTTTAAATGCGTCGGAATGGTCGCTGGTGGAGTCCTCTAGAAGATACAACGAAATCGTCGATAAACTGGAATTTCTCATGCTAAAAAAAACCCGGAAACGAAATTTCACGAAATTATCTCGAAATAGTCGAAAGATATTAAAGAAAATGTTATTTATTTCTTCAACTTTGACACCTTATAGCTCTGTTATTATCAATTTTTGGACTAAGGCAAGTTTTGTTAAATCGACTTATTTTAAGCTGGTGAACTGTTTGTACAGACCCTGTAGAAACACCCTGTATATTCCAGTAGCATTTAATATTATCAATGCGGTTGCCAGTTAATCATCATCATCGTTATATTTTAAAAATGCTAATGTAATTACAATGTTATCATTAATGCTAAAATTATTTTAATCGCCAAACTATTTACATAATAGTTACGAAGAAAGGGCGTGTAAAATACACACGTATTTTATTCGGTTAGCGAATTAATATTTACTTTGTGATTTAAAAGTAGAACCGATTATTTTGCCGGATTAGCCACCTAAGGCAATAAAATAATGAGGAACTTTTATCACACCTTTTTATTTGTGAGACAGATAAAAAACACATCGCGTTTAATCTACCGCATTCGAAATTTATTCAAAATTGTAGGCGTCGAATATAAAATAGATAATGTAATAACA